TGACCGTCACATTATAACGCCCCCACGGCTGAAAGGGCGAGCATGTTTGATGGGACAAGGATTCGAACCCGGGACCCTCAGATTGCGAATCGAGCGCCCTAACCACCTGGTCATGCCGGGCCTCTGTTGAAATAAAACATCACATTATAGTTGTTTTAGAAGTAGCTATTGCGTGTTAACTTCTCATCTTTGTTAATTGTCGTATATAATAAACAAATTACTTAGATATGATAAATAAGTACTTGAAGATTAAAGTAATATTTATTTATTTGTATAATTAATAAATCACTAGGATACGCCCAGCCCTAAATCGCTTCAAACTTACATTAATAATAAAATTGAGCTTACCCTAATTGTTGCTGTAGAATCCACAACAGGCCAAGTGACGAGTGAGTAAACCACATGTTGTCAACTGACAAAAAAACAACAAAACTGGGTTTAACTACATTTAACAAACTTTATTCATAAGGCATAACTAATAGCTTTAAACTACCTGTAAAAATACACAGATGAAAACTAAATTCTCTAATCATTGGTCTAGGAAAACTAGAAGCATTGGCAGTGGAACTGGAGGGGGGACGTTCCCCATTTTTCTTCCAGTAGCGAAGGTCCCTTTGAATAAAGACTTGTGTATAACTTTCATGTTAAATTACACTATTTTAGTTATGAATTCAAATAACTTATACAATTTGATTACTAAAAACATTTTAAAAAGAACATCTAAATACCATATTGAATGAAATAACACTAATTAGGTCATAAATCAGGCCTTAAGTACAACAATAAGAAAACGTGTAAAGCTATAAAAAAAACAATAGATTAAATATCGTAGCGTATAATAACCAAATTACTACGAACATTATACTACTACCAAATTAGCTTCACTTAAGTATATTTTTTTATCTTTATTTCAGTTTTAGTTTCAATGCTTGAATCTCAAATCCTAGCCATACCTATTGATACTTAAATAGCTTGAACTGCACATCAGCAGCAACAGTACTTTGTGATAAACTGATAATTAAGTAACTTGGACTTCAAACCAGCAGCTATCAGTTAATCCTAAGGTACTACTGCTGCTAGTTTGTAGTCCAAGCTAGTTACCTATCAGTTAATCTTAAGGTTCTAGTGTTAAGTAGTTTGGACTACATACCAGCAGTAGTGCCTTTGGATTAATTGATAGGTAAATAGGTTGGACTACAGCAGCACTAGAACCTTGGGATTAAGTGATAAGTAAGTAGTTTGGACTACAAACCAGGAGAAGCAGAGCTTTGGGATTAATTGATAGGTAAATAGTTTGGACTACACACCAGCAGCAGTAGTACCTTGGGATTAACTGATAGGTAAGTAGTTTTGACTACAAACCAGCAGCACGAGAAACTTAGGATTAACTGATAGGTAAGTAGCTTGAACTACACACCAGAAACAGCAATAGTACTTTGTGATAAACTAGTAGTTAAATAGCTTGGACTACAAACCAGCAGTAGTAGTACTTTGTTATAAACTGGTAGTTAAATACTTTGGACTACAAACCAGCAGTAGTAGTACTTTGTGATAAACTGGTAGTTAAATAGTTTGGACTACAAACCAGCAGTAGTAGTACTTTGTGATAAACTGGTAGTTAAATAGTTTGGACTACAAACCAGCAGTAGTAGTACTTTGTGATAAATTATCCCTCAGGTAATCCTTACACAGATTCTTTGAAGTTCATCACAAACAATTTATAAAACAGTCACATTTGTCAATTGAAAACCGTAATTAATAATGTTTCTGAAATCCAGCACAAGTGATAGAAAAAAAAAGAGAAACCTCTATCCAGAAAATCTAGGAATACGTCATTCCTGATATATGAATCACTTTTCTAAGTAATAACCATTGAAACGTTTTTTACTTTCTTCGTATTTGAAAGTGAGTTGGGTAGAAACCTTATATATTAGTTTAACTATTATATA